CGACAACGAACTACGCGGCAGCGCCGAGCCGCCTCATAAGCTTCGACGACCTTGGGCCTCTCGAAACACAAAACAAACAACGTCGGCGCCGAGAAGCATGACAACGGACAACCAGCACGGACCACAGGAGGGCGGCGGCGACCGGGCAGCCGCCATTCTATATCAAGGCCGACTCGGCCGACAACAAGCGATCGATGCAGCAAGCTTGAGGATTCAGGCTTTACGAGATAGAGGAAAACAACTCCATGAGGGATATCGGGACATTTGTTCACGCGGCGCGAAGCAAAAAACAAGATAGCCAAGAGGCTTCACATGCTAGTTGGTCAGATGGCACGGAATAGATAGAGCGGAGGGGATGGGTGGGTGGAAGTGAATGTGATGGTATGGCAGGTATGGATGGATGTGATGTTACAAATAGCAGACATGGATGGCAAAATGGAATGGCAAACAGAGATGACGATGGAAAAATGGATTGCGAATGGCATGCGGGCATAGAGAGAGAAACAGATGGGATGGTAATGAGATGGAAAGCAAACAATGGATGGATGGAAATGACGGATGGAATGCGAAGTGGCAAACAGATTGGATGGATGGAAATGGAACATCGAAGACAAATGGATGGATGGATGGATGAATAAGATGGAGATGGAATGGAATGGATGGAAGACAAATGGAATAGAATGGAAATGGAAAAATGGCAGAATGGCAATGGAATAGGAAATGATGGAACTCAGACAGATGGATGGATGCATGGAATGGAAGATGGAATTGAGAAAATGGATAGGGATACGGATGGATGGCATCGGCAATGGACGGTAAACAGCGAAATGGCATGGTATGGAATGGAATGGCAGCAAACAAATGGAAAATGGAAAACAAATAGAATGGAATAGAGAATCGCATGGCATGGAAAACACCAAATTGGATGGATGAACTGGCATGAATGGATGATGGACCCATGGCGAGAAAAACACATGGCCCAAATGAATGGTACAAACAACATGGAAATGGTATGGATGGATGGTAACAAGAAATGGAATGGATGGAGGATGAATGGGATGGCAATGGATGGATGGCTGGCCGATGGAAAGATGAGCGCAAACAGATAGGGATGGCGAATGAATGGAGATTGGTATAGAGAATGAGATGAATGGAATAAACCGTAATGAATGGAAAACTATCTCC